ACTACTACTACGAACTACTACTACTACTACTACTACTACTACTACTACTACTACTACTACTACTACTACTACTACGACTACTACTGCTACTACTACTACTATTACTACGGCCACCTCAAGGGGCGTGTCTTCGAAGCTCAATGCAGCAGGATCAAGAGGAGGAGGAAGAGGAGGAGGGACATGGAGAAGGGGGGGTTGAGGGGCGGCAGGAAGCAGGAAGCGGAGAGAGGAGTATCAGGAGGAGGGGCACTAGAATATAGATGGATGCGTCGAGGAAGCCGGATCAGTCAACATCAAATCGTAGAATCGCATCGAATCGGAATGTGCGTCTGCGTCGGAGCGGGCTGCATCGACACGGAGTCGAAATCTAGTCGGGTCGGCTGCGCCAGCATGCACAACAACGCCGTGCGAGCATCAGACAGCATAAGATCGCAAGAATGTCGGAATCGAAACGGATCGAGCCAGCCAGGGCCGACATCGAGTCAGCCAGTCGAATCGAAACCTAATTCCTAAGAACTAGGAGCCTAAAGATATGCAATTCCTAAAAAAAACCTTGGGCCGCCCTTATGCGCGGCGAACTCCTAAACCCTCATTCCATGCGTGCCCGCACACGGATCGTGCCCTTCCCGCATGGCGGCTAATTCCTAAACTCTTATTCCATGCCTGCCCGCACACGGATGGTGCCCCTCCCGCATGGCGGCTGATGCCTAAATGTTCATGCCATGCGCGCCCGCACACGCATCGTGCCCCTCTCGCATGGCGGCTAATTCCTAAACCCTCATCTCATGCGTGCCCGCACACGGATTGTGCCCTTCCCGCATGGCGGCCAGTTCCTGAACCCTCGTTCAACGCGTGCCCGCACAGAGATCCCGCATGGGGCCTCATCCGAAACCCTCATTCCCTGCGTGCCCGCACACGGATCGTGCCCCTCCAGCACGGCGGCTATAATTCCTAAGCCCTCATTTCATGCGTGCCCGCACACGGATCGTGCCCCCTCCCGAACGGCGGCTGATGTTACCACCCTCATTCCATGTGTGTCCGCGCACGGATCGTCCCCCCTCCCGCATGGCGGCTACTACCCCCTCCCCCCCCCCTCCGCTTCCATGCGCGCCCGCGCACGGGTCGTACCCCTCCCGCATGGCGGCTCATTCCTAAACCCCCACCCCATGCGTGCAGGCACGCGGATTCTGCCCCCCCCCCCCTCCCACGTGGCGGCTAATTCCTAAACCCTCATTGCATGGGTGCAGGCACGCGGATTCTGCCCCTCCCGCATGGCGGCTAATTCCTATACCCCCATTCCATGCGTGCAGGCACGCGGATTCTGCTCCCTCTCCCGCATGGCAGCTAATTTCTATACCCCCATCGCATGGGTGCAGGCACGCGGAATATGCCCCTCCCGCATGGCGGCTAATCCCTAAACCCTTATCCCATGCGTGCAAGCGCGCGAACTCTGGCCTTCCCGCATGGCGGCGCGCGCCGCCGTCATCCTCGTCGTATGATTGAGCATCGACCCCTCGATGAATTGAGTTCGGTATGTCTAGGGTCATGGGTGGGTGGGATACATCCAGAAGGCTTCGCGGTGATCTAGTGGACGCTAAACCCTAAACCCTAAACCCTCACGAACATGGAAAGGGATCTCTCCCTCGGGTTGCAACCGCCCTCGTGCGCCTGACGCTCAGCGAAAATAGTCGCGGGGTCCAACAAGAGCCTAGAAGGTGGCCGAGGAGGAGGAGGAGGAGGAGGAGGAGGAAGAGGAGGTCGTTAGAGTCGGTAGGGATCTGATGGAGTCGCTGGTATTGTGGGTTTGAGGTTGTGGTAGTTTCGCATCGTCGCGACGCGTAGAAGCGGCTCTCAGATCTAGACGAGGGGTAACACATGATTTATTGCAATTGGCTATGGTCGGTAAGTGGTTTTGGAATGGCATACTCGCTGTGTGCGGATGTGATTTCTGAGACTGCGGGGGCGTTGAGGCACATGGTAGCCATGGGCGTCATCGTCAGCGATCCAATGGAGTAGCGGGCCATTCAGGGTTGGAAACGGTCGGCGCGGGTAGTACGAAGTGCCGATGTGGAGGGTCTGGTTGCCTCTCTCGGCGAGGTGTACGGTTTCTCTTGTCGACCGGCAGCTCGGTGAGCGCTGGGGTGATGGAGAAAGTGGCCGGGCGCTTGGTGGACCCCGACAGGGGTGAATGCTGGTCCCACGTGCTTGCCCACGCATGGTGCCACGCGCTTCTCCTGCTTAGGGCCCGCACACCGGTATGATGATCGGGCACCCTCGGGAAGGAGGAGGAGGAGGAGGAGGAAGAGGAGGAGGAGGAAGAGGAGGAGGAGGAGGAAGAGAAGGAGGAGGGGAGGGTTCGGTAGCAGCTCACGGAAGCCTCCCACACCATCGTGTCGGCTCTTGCGGATCGGCGCTACATCGACGCTACATCGACGCCACATCGACGCGAATTCGACGCGACTCGACGCTAATTTACCGACGCTAGATCGGCGCTATCTCATCGACTCCCAAACGCTAACCTCGGCTACACGCAAGAGTGACCCTGGGTAAGAGTGACCTTTGGTGCGCGGCTTTTTGGGGGGCCGCGGGGAGACCAAACCTGGGCGCGCAAGCCGCTGCTACTGCTTCGTTTTCAACCATCTGAGGGCCCATGTGTGCCCGCAGCAAAGGTCACTCCGGCGAAAGGTCACTCTTACGTCTAGTCGATAACCGACGCCAGTCGACGCTAAAAAGCGGAATTGAGAGGACAGACCAGGCTCCCATGATTTGCGACCGAAGGACCAGCAGGCTGAGGAGGGGCGGGCGGATGGGCGGGGCGGAGGGAAGCCGGGAAGCCCAAGCGGGCGAAGCCCGACCAGCCGACCGGGAGCGGCCAGCGAGGGCCAGAGAGAGGCGCGGCGGACGCCCAGCAAGGCTGAGGGGCCTGGGGTTAGATCGGGCATGTCCCCCTACATGCGGATTCCGGAAGGAACACGAAAAATGTTCGAAAAACATTGCAAAGTAGCCAAAAGTAGTCGGAAAATCGTCCCCTGACTGTTTTGTTGCTGTGTTCGAATGCTCCCCCTGTATAGGGACACGCCCGACTTGAGCCTGGGGATACGCGGACGCCGAGAGGCTCCCACGACCTGCTGCCGAAGGAGGGGCCCGGGAGGAGCGCGGCTGGTCGCCCCCGGGCCCCCCGGCCGTCACCCGGGCCTCCCGACGTCGCGCCCGCTTCCCCGGGAGCTCTCCGGGAGTGGCGTCTCGGCGCGGGGCGGGAGGGCCGAGGATCAGTAGGGGGCGACATGCGAACCCTACCCCTACCCCCGACGATTTCTGAAGGGGAGGGTGGGGTTCACTTCGCTCGGGAGCTCCCGAACGAGGTGAACCCCACCCTGCCCCTCAGAAATCGTGGGGGGTGGGGGGGAAGGGTTCGCATGTGGCCCCCTATCAAACCGAGAAGTCGGAGCGGCGATCGAAAGGAATCGGATCTCAATCGCTTTCTGGAGGCGGCCGCCCCCGCCTGCCACGGACGCGAGAGCGACCCGATACCGCGCCCCTCGGACGGGCCACGGCCCCCCCAAGAGAGCTCGAAGAGGGCCTCTACCCAGGAGAGCCGAGAAGCGAACTGCCAAGTCGGAGATCGGCGACCGAAAGGAATCGGATCGGCGGAGATCGGCATACAAGCCGGGAGAAGACAAATCGGCGAAACCCATCAGAGAATTTGAAACCCAAAATGGAATTCGACGTCGAAATCGAATCGGAATCGGAACTGATCGAAGTCGAATCGAACCAAGCCGGAGGAGTCGCCATGAGCCATGCAGTGTCGCCGTTTGCGGCCCGGGGGCCCAAAATCGGCCCTGGGGCCCGCGACTGGCCCAGCGCGGCAGGAGCAACCAACCCCGACAGGGCCACGCACCTCGGCACTGGAGCACCGGCGGACGAGAGTGCGGCAAGGCGGGGGCAGAACGTCGGTGCGGGAGGAAGCGATGAGGCAAGGGCGAAAGAGCAGGGAGATGGGAGAGGGCGGAGGAGAGAACGGGGAGGAGGGCCCAGACATCCGACGTCGTGATTGTTTGAAAAATGTGGACCCCCAGAGGCCTGGACCCGTCCCCTGGGGCCGAGCGGCGACGGCGCTCGTCCGCGCTGCCCACCCCGCCCGAGGAGCCCGACATCTTGCCGCTCGGCAGACCGACGCCGAGGTCCTCGGCGTCGCTGTCGAAATCGCCGTCGTCGTCGCTGTCTAGCTAAGTTGACGACGAAGCTCTTGTCGTCGTCGACGGCGGCGGTGTCGTCGTCTTCGTCGTCGTCGACTTCGTCGTCGTCCTCGTCGTCGTCTTCATCGTCGTCTTCGTCGTCATTATCATTGTCGTCGTCGTCCTCCTCCTCCATCTCGTCCTCCTCGGCCTCCTCGTCCTCCTCGTCCTCCTCGTCCTTGTCCTCGGTCCTCCTCGCCGTCGTCAACGAGCTCGTCGTCGCCGTCGACATCCAGACGTCGTGACTTGCTCGCACCGTGGACCCCTGGAGGTCTCGACTCGCTCGCCAGAACCAGTTTCTCATCCTGGGTAGTGTTTACGTTCCCGGAGCCTAGTGTGGGCCCCCCGTGGTAGAAAATGGTCGTGATGGTTTCCCGATCTCGCCGTCGTCAGCGTTGCCCATCGCCGCCTGGCAGGCTGCAGTCTAGGTCCTTGGCGGCGTGGTCGAACCAGCTGAACTTCTCGTCGCCCTGCTCGCCAATGGTCCACTGCGCGAAGACAAGGCCTCGGGGGAAAGGATGAGCACGAATGGGAGGGAAACTCTCCAAATCCACTACCATACAGCTCGTCCTCCTCCTCCTCTTCTTCCCCTACTGCTCCTCATCCTCAGCAGCAGCAGCATCCCAATCCTTAAAAACAGCAGCAGCAGCAGCAGCAGCAGCATCATCATCATCATCATCATCATCAGCAGCAGCAGCATCATCATCATCATCATCATCATCATCATCATCATCATCATCATCATCATCAGCATCATCAGCATCAGCATCATCATCATCATCATCATCATCATCATCATCAGCAGCAGCAGCAGCATCAGCATCATCATCACCACCACCACCATCATCATCATCATCTTCATCATCATCATCATCATCATCATCATCATCATCATCATCATCATCATCATCATCGTTATCATCATCGTCATCATCGTCGTCATCATCATAATCGTCATACTCTCCATCAGAATCGTGACCATAATCACCATCTTAATCAGCGTCATCATCGTTGTCATGGTCGTCATCATCATCATCAGCAGCAGCATCATCGTCATCGCCATCATCGTCATCATCGTCATCATCAGAATCAGCATTGTAATCATCATCATCGTCAGCATCATCAGCAGCAGCACCACCACCACCATCATCAGCGTCACCACCACCATCATCATCATCATCATCATCATCCTCGTCGTCATCATGATTATCATCATCATCATCATCATCATCATCATCATCATCATCATTATCCTCACCATGATCATCCTCATCATCACTGCCAGCATCATCATCTTTACCATCAGCATCATCATCATCAGATCATCATCATCATCATCATCATCATCATCATCATCATCATCATCATCATCAACATCTCCCTCTTTATCCTTCTCATCCTCGGTGATCCCTCCTCCTCAGTCCTTCTTCCTCCTCAGTTATCCCTCCTCACTCCCTCCTCCTCCTCTCCCATCCCTCCCTCCTCACTCCTTCCCTTATCACTCTCTCCTCCCTTCTCCTTTTTCCCTCAATATGTTCCTTTGTCCTCGTGGTCGCGCATGTCCCTCTCTTCCCCCATCCCTCATCCCTCCATCATCCTCTCTTCCCTCCAGTATCCCTCTCTTCCCTCATCCCTCCTCCCTCTTCTCATTTGCTGCTCCTCCACTTCCTCCTCCTCCTCCTCCTCCTCCTCCTCCTCCTCCTCCTCCTCCTCCCTCCTCCTCATCATGATCATCATCATCATCGTCATCAGCATCAGCATCAGCATCATCATCATCAGCATCATCATCATCATCATATCATCATCATCATCATCATCATCATCATCATCATCATCATCTTCATCATCATCAGCATCGTCATCATCTTCATCTTCATCTTCATCGGCATCCTCATCACCAGCATCATCAGCAGTCATCAGCATCAGCATCATCAGCAGCATCATCATCACCATCGTCATCAACAGCAGCAGAAGCAGAAGCACCGTCAGCATCATGATTATCAGCATCAGCATCGTCATCGTCATCATCAGAATGTTCATCCTCATCCTCATCGTCGTCGTCGGCGGATTGTCGCATCTTCGTCGTCGCCACCACCATCAATCACGGTCACCATCACCGAACCGACACCGTCACCGTCACCATCACCATCACGATCACCATGATCATCATCATCATCATCATCATCATCATCATCATCATCATCATCAGCAGCATCACAAGCATCATCATCATCAGCAACATCAGCACCAGCGTCACCATCCTCCTTCTCCTCCTCCTCCTCCTCATCATCATCATCATTAAGATCATCAGCATCGTCATCATCATCAACACCATCGTCGCCATCATCGTTATCATCATCATAATCATCATCATCATCATCATCATCATCATCGCCGTCATCATCATAATCATCATCATCATCAGCATCATCAGCAGCAGCATCAGCATCATCATCATCATCATCAGCAGCGTCACTATCATCATCATCAACATCATCACAGCCATCATCGCTACTATGAGTATCATCATCGTCGCCGTCGTGATCATCACCACCACCACCGCCAGAAACATCAGCAACATGATCGTCATCAGCATCGTCATCATCATGATCAACATCAGCAGTAGCGTCATCATCATAATCGTCGTCTTCGTCATCATCATCAGTATCATCAACGTCGTCATCAACGTCATCATCAGCATCATCATCAGCATCATCATGATCGTCATCATCATCATCCTCATCATCATCCTCAGTATCATCCTCATCCTTTTTGTTCTTCATCCGACCCATACCGCCGATTCGTTCCCATGGCACCTCAGCTCGCGGAGTGGGGCGAGTATAAATGGAGGCTGGGTCCCCAGATGCTGTTTGCGGTGGTGCCTGATCCGTCGTCTGCTGCACAAGTGGCACAAGGGTGAAGGGGGGGCCACCAGGGCGGGAACGGGAAGCGCGAGCGTGGATGGGGAAACCCAAAGGTACCGATACTGCTACTCCCTGGACCTCTCTTGGGGTGCGTTCGGAACAGAATTTCGAGGCGACTGCAGCCCTGGAGATGCAGGCCGTCCAGGAGGCCCAAAAAGGAGAAAACGAGGGAACGGCAGCGGTATCGTGACCCTTCTCTCCTCTGAATCTACACACAGTCGAACCGCACCGCGCAAGAGACCCTCGGAGCCTAACAGACGCCTGCAGGCGCACGCACCAGACGGGCCGACGGACGGCACACGGCGCGGTTCCGCAGGACCCGGGGCAGTCGGGAGGGGGGAGGCAGAGGGAAGCAGGAGGAGAGGAACAGGAAGTGGGAGGGTGGCCGGGCACTCCACCGCCCCACTCTCCCCCTCCCTCCTCCTCATCGTCCTCATTTTCCTCCTCCGTCCCCAAACAATGCTTGTACTCAGGGGCCCACATACGGGTGCTTACTTTTCTTCTAAGGAAGGGTCTGTCTGTCGGTCCGGGGGCTATTCAGCCACTGTCGCCGCCCATTCGCCGACTCGTCACCGCCCGTCGTCTGGACCTGTTTGTCGGTCTGGCGGCTACGTTCCCGCCGTCGCCGCCACTTCGCCACCTCATCGCCGCCCGTCGTCTGGGCCTGTCGGTTTGGCGTCTATGTTGCCGCCGTCGCCGCCCCGTCGCCGCCTCGTCGCCGCCCGTCGTCTGGGCCTGTCTGTTGGTCTGGCGACTATGTTGCCGCCGTCGCCGCGCCGTCGCCGCCCCATCGCCGCCCTAGATTTCACAATAGACGTTGCAATGCATACATTGCACAACAAAAATTGCACCGCACAGATTGCACCGCATAGATTGCACCACATAGTTTGCACAACCCGAATTACACCGCTGAGACTGCACCCAATGGGATGCACAACGTATATTGCACCGGAATGGACGCACATCATGGATTGCACCGAATGGGTTGCACCCCTTAGACTCACCACATGGTTTTCACCATACAGATTGCACCGCATATATTGCACCACATGGATTGAACAACGCATAGATTGCACCACATGGATTGTACATTATAGGTTGCACCACATCGAATGCATATCTTATATGGCACCACATCGAGCGCACGACATGTAGTCTCATCTCTTGTACCATAAAATAAGACCGACCAACCCACAAGCCCCACCCGATTTTTCCGTTCGCGTGCTCTTTATTGCGTTATACATATGACGTTCACCCATCGCCCATTCGAAATATGCATTCGTACGATCCCAACTAAACCAGACAATCCTGTGAAAAGCAAACACTACGCGCGCACTTTCCAGTATCACACATGGTAAATTGTCAACAACCCCTTGGCGCAAAAATGTGACGAAGTGCACACGCGTGCGTCGTCGCGCGCGCTCGGCGAAATCCTTCCAACGCCATGGGCCCCGTGAGGATGTCAAGATTTAGTGTCCTGGATTGTGACACGGTTTTGCAGCATGGTTTATCAAAAAAATCTGCGCGCGCATTTTGCGCGCTCATAATAAAACAACTCATCGGTTGTTCACGATTTCCGTCCAACTCAATCACCCCAGCCCCTCGCGCGCGCATGTCGGAATCATTATGACGCCCTTGCGCACGCTGGGGGAGGAGCACGACCCCTGACAAAGCTTCATCATCGACGCGTGGACACCATCACCGTCATCGGCGTGATCAGCATCGACGCCGTCATTTGCTTTGCCGCCGTCATCGTCGTCATCGTCATTAGCACCGATGCAGTCAACATCGCGTCTGCCGTGGCCGACGACGCCATGATACAGCGCCAGCCCGAATCACCGATTCGCCTTGGAGTGCCCGCGAGTCCGCACGGCCTGTGAGACGCGCTGGCAAATCCACAGCGGTCAACGCCACCGCGTCCGCGTCGGTCGCGCCAAACTAGCTGGCCGCTCTGCCCGCGAGCCTGCGGGCACTAGCGCGGCCGCAGCGATGCGCCACCCAACGCCAGGCAAGTATCACAATTGCCGCCCCGTGGGTTTTGCAAACCAAGTTGCGGGTGGGTGGGCAAGATGACTGCGCGAGCACTGGAGTTGACAATCCACGAGTGAGCAATGATTAATTGCACCACGTCGGTTGCCAAACCTTGAATGCACAATGAATTGCCCAACGTAGGTTCTCCTTTCTACCACCCCCCCCCCCGCCGTATCCCCCCCCATTTCGGGTATGTAAATCATATATGATTATGACCACATGTCCATCCTAAATATGAATGTACACTATCCCGGAAGGGCAGGGATCGGCCCCCCTGAGGTTCCCTTGTTTATATATATAACTTAAAATAATTTAACGATACACGGGGACATCTTTTGTTCCAACATAAGATTTATTCACGAATTCCTTGCAAAAAACGGGAAGAAGTGCACACGCGCGCGCCGTCGCGCGAGCATGCCGAAATCCTTCAAAAACCTTCGGTGCCGGAAGAATTTCGCAATCGAGTTTCCAAAGAACATACAAAAACACAAGGTTTCGCAACACTGATTTGCTCTTTTTTTGAAAACAAAACAAAAATGCGCGTGAGCTC